AAGTGCAATTTTATTTGCTTTTGAACATGTAAGTGCATAATTATAATTAAAGATAAAAATGCATATCTTTGCGATATGAGTGCACAACTAAAATAATATATTTGCAAATTTTGGAGAAAATATTGCTATTTACGATAATATATGTGCACTAAATGATTGATAAGAAATAACGCTAAAATTAAATAAAACATGTTTGAATTCAATTGAACGTATTATGAAAAAGTGACGCTTATGGAGAAAATGAAGCATGTTATACATAAAGTTGGATAAAAGTAAAAGTGAAATAATGTATATATAAAACCATTTCGAGCAATTGTTTCTTGTAAGTTGTTGGTTTTCAAATTTATTTAACCACTTTGTTTAAGATTAAAGGGGAGAGAAAGAGTGAGAGAGATTTGGCTATATATTGCTAGCAACTAAATTAGTTTTTCAGTTACGTTACCGTAAACTCTCCGTTAGTTGTTCAATGTTTGACTAATGCAGCTGCTTAAAAATGAATTAGTACCGTAGATATTCTATTTTGGATGAATATGATTTGTTCTTATTTCCCCTCCACCCAATATATCTCCTGGGTATCAGAGCATCAATCATCTTTGATTGAATCCTGAACTATGCCTTCTTCAACATCTACGAATATTGTTATTCCTGTAACAAATGATTCATCTTCCCCACTCGTATCACTAAATGCTTCATCCCAAACCCCTATCAAACTATCTAAAGATGGAAGTAATTATTCATCTTGAAAATCCCAAATCACTAATCTTCTTTTCGGTTACAGACTTCTTGACTATGTAACTGGGAAAATAATATCTCCCGAAGATACCGATCTAAATTGTGATTTTTGGATGCGTCAAGATCGTCTAATTCTCTTAGCCATTCAATCAACTGTTGTAGTCACTATAAGCCCCATTATCGATTCATGCTCTTACTCGGCTACTGCATGGACCAAATTAGAAACCAGCTTTGCTAGCTCTTCTACCACAACAAAGAAATTAGGTGAGAACTCAATATAGACATTATTTTGACGACAAAATTTATTGACAGAGATGAGATTATGACGAATATTAGGGGCACAGAGAACATTATTGAGTGTAAATTTTGAACCACGAGAAGTAACAGTGGATGTACCGATGTGAGATATAGGAATATTCTTACCCATCACCCATTGCTACTGAGTCATCACCGTGATAATCGGAGTGAACATGAAGATTGTTGAGATCAGATGTGATATGATGTGTGGCGCCAGTGTCAAGAAGCCAAGTATTATTTTGCATGGTGTCACCACTTCCATTTGCTATATTGGCAGAAGGATAGGTTGAGTTCCTGGCATAACAAGTCTTGGCAGTGTGATCGGGTTTGTCACATAATTGACACATGACCTGCTTATGAGTATTTCCGGATGAATTTTGACCGTAGCCAAAATTTTGATTAAATCCAGAATGTTAACCAAAACCATGCTAATGAGAAACTTGTTGTTGATAAGAGGAATGATAGTTATTGGTTCGGCCTCCTCGTCCACGTCCCCCACGACCTCGGAAATTATGACGACGCTGAGAAAATTGTGTCGTAATAGGAATATCATGGTCACAGGGGCGGATCTACAGCTACATGATGGGGGCAGCTGCCCCCAATAAAGGGCTACTAATCTCCTATAATCTATTAGGAAAAATTCTAGCCCATGTAATTGCCCCCAATTAAAAAAAAACAAATGCCTCGCTCTCCAATACCCAGTCCAGTCACACAGCGAGCCCAAATAACCCATTGCTCTATCTCCGCGCGCCTTCAATTATGATGTGCGGCTGTGCGCAGCCCTTTTGTTTAAAGATTGGACAAAAGGGAGTATTTTACTATGTACAGTACGATGGTATTACCGTTTCAGCCCTTTAATTTATTACGGAGTATTGTTTTTACATGTCTAGGTAAGATTTTACGTAGTACTCATATTACTTTCTAGGTAAGACGTGTAATTAGGGAATAAAATACTTCTCACTTTTTCAGCATTTTAAATTGAGATGTTTAAATCCCAATTCTTATTGTTTTTGGACTTTAAGTTTTTATGCAGAGTTTTTAATTGGACTAATTTCAATTTCATAACAGACCATGTTTAACAAATTGACCTAAACTGATTATGCCAGATCAGACAAGATTTAAAAATTACTACCTCTGTCCCTTAAAATTTTACCAATTTTGACCGGCATGGAAAATAATAAAATAAAAAATGTGAAGTTGAAATTTGTGCAAAAGATAGAGAAATAACATGAACCACAAAATAAATGATTAAAAGAGAAAGTGAAAGAGTTTTTTGGGATATCCCCAAAAGGAAATATGACAAAGTTTTAAGAGACGGAGGGAGTAGTAAAATATACATTCATCAGACGTTTACCGGACTAGACTTAAACATACCACATCAGAATAAAAAACATTTTTTTAAATTTTACATTTGCGATATTTAACGTCATATAAAAACTTACGGAGTATATTTTTTCAAATGACAAGGGCGCGTAAAGCAGCTCCCAACTCAAATTACGGGGTGAAATACTTCTCACTTATTCAGCATTTTAAATTTATGTTTTCTTTCAAAAAAAAATTGGATGTTTAAATCCCTTAAATTTCCATTAAAGAAACCTGTTAAGTATGAACTATTTCACTGTTGTATAATTTATATTTGTATAGTATGTTGTTTAAGATTAAAGTGTAGATTTAACTATCTAGCCTTTACGTTTTTAGATGTTGTTTAGATATGAAATAAACATGGAGAAAATTATAATAATTTAATAGTAGCTATAACTGACAATTGGATTTAAGAGTTAAGATACCCAACCATGCAAAATATAGTAGATCTATTTAAAAAAGAAATATTTGAAATAGTTACAAATGAAACTGTAATAAATCTTTTTGAAAAGATTCAAAAAATGAAAACTCAAAGAGAACCCGTATGATTTATTTTAATTGGGGTTTTTTTATATTGTATTATACTCGTACTTTATTTCTTTGAAGTATTTGTGGTTCGGATATATTTTATCAGGTTTTTTTTTGCAATTTATTGCCTCTATGTACTTCACTTTACTCTGCCCCCAATAATATTATTTTCATGATCCGCCACTGATCATGGACGAATAAGGACTCACCCGCCAGGGTCTCAGCTTCTCGAAGAAAATCTTGAAGTTGTTTGAAAGTTGGGAGTGTCGGCAGAATCCGTATGGCGCCGACGAGATCTTTGAATTCACCGGGGAGACCTCCAAGAGTGTAAGAGGCTATCTGCCCAGTGCTTTGTGGATGCCCAATTGTTGCAAGATCATCAATTAGAGTTTTCATAATGGCCAAATATTTCGAAAACACTTTTCCCAATTTTCTTTGTAGTCATGAGAGCAGAGAGTAGAGATAACATACGTGTGGTAGAAGAGCTAGCAAAGCTGGTTTCTATGGTCCATGCAGTAGCCGAGGAAGAGCATGAATTGATAATGAGGCTTATAGGGACTGCAACAGGTGATTGAATGGCTAAGCGAATTAGACGATCTTGAATGTGTGAAATTGAATTATGATTCAATAAATAATACGGAGTAATTTGTAAAAAATAAAAAGGAGAAAAAAGCAAAAAGAAATGATGGATGGTGAGAAAAATAAGGGAAAAAGTGTCAAAAACAAAGAGAAATATTTTTGCTGCAAGACAAGAACTTTAACAGAGTTATATCAGGGCCCACACAGACAACTCAGCCTACAAGCATCACAACAAAAATTCTTCCCCTCTGTGTCTCTTTCTCTCTCATTTGAGTTGTTATTATACTCCTAAAGCTGCAACAAAAAATATAAATGAAAAAGGTGCTGAAATGTACATCAGTCCCCTTTTCTCTTTTTTAATTTCCATAAAAAGATTTCCTTCCCATTCAAAAAGCCATTTTCTTAATTTCTTGTATAAAAAGTAGAAGTCTGAACTCTTTGTAGATAATCACACTTCTTTATGAGAATTGTGACAGATGCTGGCCTCCTTCTTCTCGTGTGTATATATTCCGGAGTAATCATTAAGAATTAATAATTACTGTAATAGTAATCATTCCCTTTTAGGCTTACCGGCGATGCCAACGCCGGCGACCGCTGCCAGGCAATGTTTAACAGATGAGGCGGCGCGTGTGTTGGACGACGCCATTAATGTGGCTCGTCGCCGGACTCACGCTCAGACCACCTCACTGCACGCTGTATCGGCGCTACTGGCGCTTCCTTCTTCCGTACTCCGGGAGGCGTGTTCGCGGGCGAGGAGCTGCTCGTACTCGCCGCGGTTGCAGTTCCGGGCGCTGGAGCTATCCGTCAGTGTGTCGCTCGATCGACTGCCCACAGCGAAATCCCTAGACGAGCCGCCGATTTCGAACTCGCTTATGGCTGCAATCAAGCGCTCGCAGGCGAATCAGCGGAGGCACCCCGACACATTTCACCTGTATCAGCAGCTGCAGAACCAGGGTTCCTGCTCGTCTTCTTCGATTTCGACTCTCAAAGTTGAGCTGAAGCATTTTGTGCTGTCGATTCTCGATGACCCTATTGTAAGTCGGGTCTTAGGAGAAGCGGGTTTCCGGAGCTACGATATCAAGCTCGTGATTCTGAATCCCCCAACCATTTCCAGACTCTCCGCAAATCCGCATCCGCCCCTGTTTTTCTGCAATTCGACGGATTATTATGAGCTCAACAGACGTCCCTTCAACTTTCCATTTTCTACATTTTCCGGAAATGAAAATGTAGACGAAAACTCCAGACGAATCAGCGAAGTTCTCGTGCGGAAAAGCTCGAGAAACCCGTTGCTAATCGGGGCTTTCGCGAATGATGCCCTACGTTACTTCACAGAGTGCGTAGAAAAGGGTGATGATAGCGCCCTTCCCTATGAAATAAACGGCTTGAGCATAATTTGCATTGGAAAAGAGATCTCCGAGTTTTTGGGTACATGCGAGAGTGAAAAAAGGATGATGGATTTGAAGTTTAAGGAATTGAGCGACGCAGTGGAGGGTTGTACTGGGCCGGGGATGGTGGTCAACTATGGTGAATTGAAGGTTTTTGTTGATGGAGAAAGAACAGAGGCGGTGAAGTATGTGGTTTATGAGCTGAAGAGATTGGTGGAAGTTCATAGTGGGAAATTGAGGCTTGTGGGATCAGCGGGCAGTGATGAAAGCTACATAAAGTTCTTGGGTCGGTTTCCCTCTATTCAAAAGGATTGGGATTTGCATCTTCTTCCCATTACTACTTCGGCATCTATAACTAGAAGGTTTAACCCCAGATCCAGGTAAGCTAGCAAGCTGCCTGTCAGCTAGTATATAATTGATCATATATTTTTTGTATAATATAATATCTATGGTCCCTGAAGATTTTATTTTCTTTTTAATGGCTGATGAGTAGGACAAGTTGGACTGTTTTTTTTGACTTTACAAATATATTAATCAGAAAATTGGCCCATCCTTAAATTCTTCGGGTCTGGGTATTATGTTGCAAATCTTTAAATGGTATTTTGTCAGTTTCTCTTTAAATGACAATCTTTCTCCAAGAATACTTGAAATTGTAAGGTTCATTTATGGATTTCCCTTTTTGTTCTACTTATGCACATATATGAAATTGAGCCTAATTCAGAATGATACTTACTGAATCTAGTTTGCAATTAATACATGCATTGTTTTACGAACTGATGATGATTGGTTTTATACTTATAAGATCTATTAAATGTGCCACTTAGTAGCAGCCACCTATAGATTAATTAGTTATGGATAAGGATTGCCTAGTTTCAGCACTCTGATATTGCTATTGCCTTTAAGAACCTATGTCCTACTAAGGATAAATGTGATGTACTTCTTTTCATCCTGAAAACTTATGAGCATGAATCCCAGTTAGCACCCTTGAAATGTATCTGTATGCTTAGACGCTTAGTGCAGTGGGAGTTATATATTGTGATACACATGTTGTATCTTGGGGTTTTTACACGAATCCCAGTTAGCACCATTGAATGTATCTGCTTAGGCCTCAGGTATTGCATTTTACATCTACATATTTAAAGCTTAGGATGTTTTTAGTTTGACTGATTTCAGTCCCAGACCGGACTTAAACAGACGCGACCAGAACAGACTTCGATAGTTGTAAAATACACATAGCCACACATCAACCAGACCAAACCAATGCAATTTTGATCAGACTAGAGTAGACCAGAAATCTTAATCCAATTAGAAATATCCTAAGAACACAATAGTGGTAATTTTAAAATAGTTCTGTAATGATTTCTTTTGTACGGCTGCTATTCATGCATTTTGAAATGGAAATGGTAGTTAGGACTTGGGACATTAAAATCATTATAATTATGTCATTTTAGAATTTTGGAAATGGTAGTGATAGGAATCTGGGCCACCAGCCCATCCGGTATTTTAATAAGGTTTATCAAAGGAGAAATAAGGGGCTAAGGGGGGTAAAATAGAGAATGAACTATTCAGGTGGTCCCTGCGTGGACAATTACTATATATAGTAGGGTGAGGTAGCTAATAAAGGGTAGGTTATCATTTATCTGAATTATTGCCTTGTTGCCTAAGTCCTGATTACTAGTTACTACATTATTATTGTTGTATTACTATAAATCTATTAATTAATAAATGTTTTAATGAGTACTGCTATGTTACTATGTGGAGTTAACAACAATATTATTCATTTCTCCGAGTCAACGAATTATTGCTATTGCGACTCTAATAAAATGTTGGATCTCAAAGATGATAGTTTGATCCTTGCAGCTTGATGGGTTCGTTCGTTCCATTTGCTGGGTTCTTTCCAACACCATCTGAGTTTGAAAATGTACAGAGCAACATAAATCAGTCAATTGCTCGTTGCAACCTTTGCAACGAAAAGTACGAGCAAGAAGTTACCAGCCTTTTGAAAGGATCCACTACTACTTCAGTAGCTGATCAGCACCCTTCTAACGTTCCTCCTTGGTTACAAATGGCTGAATGTGGAACAAGCGGTACAATGACTGGGATAGAGGTGTGTCATTCACAGTCACCGAGTTTTTCACTTGAAAGTTTTTTCGCTGTTTAGTGGATCACAGATTGGGAAACGTCGAGTAAATTATTTTCTTATATTTGGTTTTACCTTGGAAAATTCCCAAGCCAGGAAAATAGCACTAGTTTTGTTATTATATTTTTAGATAAGGATAAAATTCTTCAGTCTTTAAATAACTGGCACGAATAAATATAATGTATATCAACATTTTCTTTCCTCCTAATCCTCCATATAGATGGTTGATATTTATATATACATTTAGAGGGTTGAAAAGAATGTAAATATGAAAAAATAGAGACATGATTTAAGTAAACATAAAGTATTTTTCTATTTCAGACCAACAAATAGAGATAAGTTAGTAAAACAAAACCTATCCTCCCATCCCCCCCTTTAATCCCCAACCAAACAAGACCTTAAAGTTTGTGAAAACATTTGTGTGAACATGTACTTTATCATTTGCAGTGCAGGCCAAAAATGACAATGTTTTCAACATCAGAGTTGTGGGTTTGCAAAAGAAATGGAACGATATATGCCAGCATCTTCATCAATCACGGTCATCTCCACCCCATGTTTTGCCTGCTGCAATGGGTGAATGTAAAAGTCAAGATTCAGTTTTATTAGCTGAAAGCCAGTTCAGTGAGCAAAATATCTCTCCATCCAGTAAACAAGAGTTACCCAAACCTATGGTCTGTACTGTATCCACGGATCTAGGATTGGGAACCATATATGTATCCACGGATAAAAGGAAACCAGAAGAAAGTGTCAAAGATCATAAAGACCGCCTTCAGAATATCTCTGGCTCAGTTTCTTGTTGTAGGCTCCTTCCTCATGTGGTAGGAGATGGCCTGGCTTCAAAAGACTTTAAGTACATACATAAATCTCTTGCTGAGATTGTTTACTGGCAAGATGAGGCAATTTACGCCATTAGCCAAATAGTATCCAGTTGCATAAATGGACAAGTAAGAGGTCATGGTCGAAACAGGGGAAATATCTGGCTCTCCTTCCTTGGAGCTGACACAGTGGGGAAAAGAAAAATCGTGAGATTCCTTTCTGAAAAAGTCTTTGGGAGCCAGGGTAGCTTGCTGTTTGTGGATCTTAGCTCCAATCATAATGAGATTAATAACTCCTCTAACTCTATGTTTGACCATTGTGGCTTCAAAAGCCATGATGTGAGCATTAGGGGGAAAGCGGCTGTTGACTGTATTGCTGATGAGCTAAGCAAGAAATGCTATTCTGCCGTGCTTCTTGAAAATATAGAAAAGTCTGACTTTCTCATTCAGAACAGCCTCTCCCAGTCGCTGAAAACGGGCAAGTTCCCTGATTTGCATGGAAGGGAGATCAGTATAAATAACACGGTTTTTATGATCACTTCAAAGTACTCAAAGGATAAACGCAATTGCCTTACAGGTTCAGATTCTCCCCTTTTTTCAGAAAGAAGCGTACTTGCAGCCAAAGACCTGCCAATGAGGATTATCATGGGACCAAGGACTCGAGGTGGATTGAAAATGGAGAGCATGAACGTGTTTATCATCACTTCTAGGAACAAAACACCAAACACCTTATCTTTAAACAAAAGAAAACTGATGTACTCCAACAAGGTGACTTGTCAAAGTTCTAAAAGGGCATCAAAAGTTTCTCTTGATCTGAACCTGCCTGTGGAGGAAGAGGTGGAAGAGGAGGACGATAGTGACAACTCTAACAGTGACTCCGGCTATGACAGTGCAACTGCAGAATGGTTGGATGATTTCTTGAAGCAGACAGATGAAAATGTGATCTTCAAGCCTTTTGACTTTGATGCTGTTGCCAAGGAAATTCTCAAGGGAATCAACAATAAACTGGTGGAGGTTTTCGGAACAAATGCTGTTCTAGAGATTGATCAGGAACTAATGATTCAGATGCTTGCGGCTGCTTGGTTATCAGACAGAAAAGAAGCAGTGGATGAATGGATCAAAGAGGTTATGGGCAGGAGCTTTTTGGAAGCTCAAACTAGATTCCACTTCACAGCAGATATTAATGCAATTAAATTTGTTGCATTTGAGGGAATTCCTGTAGAACCTCATTCTTGTGGAATTCGCCTTCCAGCCAGAGTATGTGTAATGTAATGATCACCTAATTCCCTTTTTTTTTTCATTTTTTGCAGGTATATAAAATTCTTCTGAATCTTTAAGGATGTTTTGTTAGTAGAATTTGTGGGCTGAATTGCCTGTTTTGGATGTATACCTGTAATTTTTGTTGCCGCTTCGGGATACTTTGTAGTTTGTATCTATTTTTCAATTCTTGCAAGTCCAAATTGCTGTTCTCTTTTATAATGAGCGTGATGTGTATATTATTCCATAGTTCTAAATTTTTTCCTCCCGTTCGAAATGAACTCAAATTATTATATTTCATATTTTCATGACAGTAATTATATTATACGGAGTATAACGGTTGAAGTGTGTAACAAGATGTAATGCACTCACAAAATAATTGAGGTAATAGATCTCCCGTCCCTCTCCCTCTCCTCCCTCACAAAATAATTTGACTCTTAATGACACTTCTTCATAAGAGTCATAAAGAGTCTGATTTAGTTGTGGTAGTTTCAAGGGCGTATTTAGGTGGGGCAGCTGCTCCTCAATCCTAGCCCAACTCCTTTATATATCCTAAAACTTTATAAAAGTTGTTCAAAAAATGAGTAAAGTATAAGGAAAATTCTAAAATAGGATTAAGAAGTTGTTTTCTTCACCTGAGCTGAATGTTTCTGATCTGAATTTTTTAAGTTCTGATCTGATCTAATCTGAATTTTTCTGATCTGATCTGATCTGAATCTCTCTGACTTGATCTGAATCTTTCTGATCTGTTCTGATCTGATCTGAATCCTTCTGATCTGATCTGAATCTTTCTGATCTGATCTGATTTGAATATTTTTATAATTATAATTATTATAATTATAATGTTAATTACAAATATAATTAAAATAAAATTATACTATAATCATAATAATAAAAAATAATAAAATAATTAAAATTAAATTTTAAATTATAATAAATATGCATATTACACTAATTATAACTATAAATACAATTATAATTGTGATTATATTTTTAATTATAACTACATATATAATTATAATTGTAAGTATGATTATAATATTTATTTCTATAATTATAATTATAACTATAAATACAATTATAATTACCCTTTATAATAATAAATACAACAATAATAATAAGAATTATTATAGTTATAATTATATTAATAATAATTATATTATAATAATAATATTATACGTGGTAATAATAATATATTAAAGTATTATAATAATATTATAATAATGTAATAAATAATAATAATGTTCTTATTATTATATTATTATTATAATATAATAATATCATTATTATAATATTATAATATTATTATATTATTATTATTACGTATTATTTAATAATAATAATATAATAATATAATAGTATTATAATAATATTTTATATTAATATTATTATTATTATAATTTTATAATGAATATTATAATATTATTGATATTATAATAACATTATATATTATTATTATTATAAATATATTATTATAATTTAATAATAATAATAATATATTTTTATTATTATATTATTATTATTACTATTATTATTATTATTATTAATGTATTATTATTATTATTAATTATAATGTAATGATTATAATAATAATAATTTTAATTATTAAAATAATAAAAGTGATAAATCATGTTTCAACTTTTCTGATCTGATCTGATCTGAATGTTTCTGATCTGGTCTGATCTGATCTGAATCTTTCTGATCTGATCTGAATGCTTCTGATCTGATCTGATCTGATTCTTTCTGATCTGATCTCATCTGATCAAAATTTTTCTGATCTGAATAAAATAAGAATAAGCAATAAGTAGGGATTATGTCTAAAATAATACTAAAAAAAGAGCTATGGACAAAAAGAGACCTTTTTTTCACTTTCCAAAAATGGGACTAAAAAGATGATTAAGAGAGTACTATACCCTTATACTAATACTTCGTATAATCTAACCCATTAGTGCTCCAGTATAATCACAGTGACCAACAAAAATATAGTGACAAAAAATTAGTGACGAAAAATCCAAATTCCTCCAAGTGACAAACGTTCGCCCGGTTAGTGACCAACGTCCGCGCCCGTACAGTTACAGTTATCCGACTCATCCAGTTACAGTTACCCGACCCGTCTCGTTACAGTTACACGACCCGTCTAGTTACCGTTACCCGACCCGTCCAGTTACAGTTACTCGACCCGTGCAGTTACAGTTACCCGCCTACCAATTATGGTTACAGTTACATAACTCGTCCCATTACAGTTACCAACATTTCACTTACAATTACCAACTCGTCCAATTACCTATAAACCATCACTGACCACAGCCACCGCCAATTACCCATAAACCACCACCTCCCACCGCCGCCACCAGCAACCACCACCTCCCACCTCCGGCGAGCACCACACTCAATCCCAATGCCTCACCCAGCCACCTCCCCTGGTCACCCTAACCCCCCTGCATCACCCAGCCCACTCTCCCCTGCATCACCCATCCCAATGCTCCGGCCGCCACCGCTCATGCTCCGGCCGCCGCCGGATCGGCCTTACAAACCTTACCCGACCCCACCATCGCCCAAGACCTTGTCCAGACCTCATCCCATACCCCCAGGCAACCAGGCCCGTCACCTCCGCCCACCATTTCCCCCTCCCCTGCTGCAGGCGGCTGCAAATCTGAGAATTAAGGCCGCCGCCGTCGCAATCGAACTGCAGCCGCCGCAGATCTAGTAACGTGGATGAAGGCTTTGTCGAAGCTAGCTTCTCCCATCGTCCATGGAATTTTCGACCAAGACATCTTCGTTGTTGAGCCGCTGAAGCACCTAGGCGAAGAAGATGAACGTTGCAGACGCGAGCGGCGGAGGCAGGCGCGGGGCGGCGCTGTGTATCGGCGAAAAGGTGTCCGACGTTGATGTTTGGAGCTTTGGTCGGTGCTGTTGTTGCGCGCAGGGGAGAAGCTCAGAGAAGACTGTGGGATGGTGTGTTGCTTGGAGATCTGGTGCAGTCCTTTTTTTGTCAAATTAAAAATCAGTCCTAGTTTTGGAAAATGAGAAGTCCAGACTCCTTTTTTAGTCTTTATTTCATAAGATTAAGACAAAGAGAACAGCTTCTAAGTGTGTTTTATTCCTCAACATAGAATTTATTTAATCTTATTAAAATGAAATGATAAAAAAATCTAAATAGGAGTGCTTGAGCCAAGGGTATATATCAACCTGGATCAATACAAAGTTTATTTGGAATAAATTTTTCTATGAAATTTTATACTTCAATAACTAATGATTTTTTTGAAATTTGTGTTTAACAGTAGCCTAGCATGGCTCCTAAACTCCACCCCTAGTGGTGCCCCATGCATTGCCACTGTCTCGTAATGATAATCAGCATAGTGTAAGATTGTAAGATAATGTGAACCATCATCGTCATGAGATAAACTTTATGCACTTCAAAAAGGATCTGAGGAGATTATGATTATGAGATCCAGGCTTACTTGCAATCTCGCCAGAGTTGGATTTCTCTTGATCCAAAAGGTGGAATCTCCCACCCCGGGAGCCCCCACATCCCGACTAGGGGTGGACTCGGGCCGGGCGGCCCGACCCAGAACCGGCCCGGCCCGGTTACTGTTTGGCCCGGCCCGGCCCGGGGCCCGGTGGGTCCATCGGTTCGGTTTGGCCCGGCCCGGGTGATGGGCGGTCCGGGCTCAGGCCCTGCTTTAGGTGAACCGACCCAGCCGGTTCGGGCCCGGGCCGGTCCGGGCCGGATTTTTTTTTTTTTTTTTGAACTTTTTTTTTAGTTTTGGGTTGGATTAGGTATTTTAGGCCATTTGAGGTGGTTTGGGGTGGAGGGGGAGGGGTAGGGGATTAAATAGGAGAACCAAAAAAAAAAAAAAAATGGACCGGTTTGGCCCGGAACCGGAACCGGCCACCGGCGGTTCAGGCTCGGGCCCCAGTTTTCTGGCCCGAGGCCTGGCCGGGACCAGGCCCGAACCGGGCCCGAACCGGCCCGGGTCCACCCCTAACCCCGACCCAACAGGACAGATAGGAGGATGTAAATCACGGTGACTCAGTCGGCAAAGTGTTAGTAGGCCCATATGCCCGTGCGCGCTAGAAGTGCAGCCCATTTACAGGTTGGGACTCAAACTAGGGTTCCTTGAACCAAAGTTGGATTTCTAACTTCTTGTAGTTCTAATTGCATTTGACCTATGAAAAGTTTGGGGTTGATTATGATGTACAAGACTCCAATTAAGATTTTAAATTCTACTTTTTTAGGTGTCATGTAATCTAGCTAATTACCTCCTCCAACAACATTCTCTCTCATTATTACATTATTATTACATATGCTATTAAATAAATAGAATACTATTTTTGATTCTTAAGAATTACTTTAACCTAGTTCTGTCGATAATTTCAAATATTACTACCTCAATTTAGTTTTTTCCGAAAAGAAAATTAAATGCGGACAAGTAATTGTCTTTATTTGGTCATAGTCATAACCAAATGTTATTTTATGTGCACATTTTTTAAAATCAATCTTTTTAGAGTCATTTTTAAATATTTGTTTGGATAAAATTAAAATCACACAATTTTTATTTTATACAGACATTTCAAAAAACAAGTGATGCGGTTTCTAAAAAAATAGACCCCTTCTACTTTTTATTGCTCTTAAGCTTCCCAGGCGGGGTGGAGTGAAAGTGGGGTGAAGTTTTTTCACCCCGTGTCAAAATGCCATTTTCCCCTTTCAACGCATGAATTGCATGCTTTTGAGTTGAAAATAGAGTGAAAGTGAGTATTTCACCTTATTCACCCCAGAGTTAGAGATCACCCAACATGCTCAAACATACATTATATTGGTAGAATTATTTGAAGAATGAAGTTGGGTAGGCCTATTGGTTAGAATTAGGCTTGGACCTGGTTCGGGCCGCCCGGCCTGTGACCCGGCCCCGCCCACTACTGTGTGGGCCCGGGACCGGCCCGGTCCTTCAGTCCGATACCGGAATTGGACCCGAACCGGTGGGTAAAGCGGGGGCGGGCTCGGGTATGTGAATTGGTGACCCGGCCCGGGCCCGGTTCGGGCCAAAATATTTTTTTTCAATTTTTTTTTTGTTTCCCCCGGGTTGGGCTGAGTGTTTTGGGGGGTTTTGGGGGGTGGGGGTCAGGGGGGGGTCAGGGGGTATTTAGGAAAGGGAAAAAAAATTATAAACCGGCCTGAGACCCAGCCTGAACCGGACTCGGTGGAAACCTGGGCCGGTCCCGACCCTTCCCTTAACCATAAAAAGCCCGGTCAGGCCTAGGCCCGGCCCGACCCGACCCGAGGCCATGCCTAGGTAGAATAGCTTCCAATTCTCTGATACTTAGTGGGAGTGTTATGTACTATGATTTGGCTATATGCGGAAATGTGTTACTAAGTATTTATTGAGCCCGTTTGGTAACATCCAAATCGATCGCATTGGTTGATTCTGCTGAAATTGACGAAATTCTGGCTGAAGTGGTTGGATTGAGTGATTCTGCTGATTTATGAACAATATATATTTAAAAAATATTTTATTAATAAATTAAAGAAAAAATTATATGAAAAATAGATAAAATGATCTTCCACGGTAACTTTATCCAATACAACTAGAAAAATAACTCTAACCTTACTTTATCTAGAAAAAATAGATAAAATGATCTTGTACGTGAAATCAAAATTACGTGTTTGATGAAAAATTTGATTGATAGCCTGATAAACCGAAAAACAGGATCACCAAACGAGCTCATTATGTATTACTTCCATTTTAGTTTAGTTGATTTGTTATATAGAAATGATGTTTTCTTTTGGACTGTTTTCAATCCCAGACCAGACCAGACCAAACTTCCGTGGTTATAAAATACACAGAAATCAGACATTTACTAGACCAAACCAGTTCAAACCAGACCAGCAAATTTCAGTCCAAAAAAAAACATCCATGTTTGACTCTACCCTTTGGTCGATTTTTTTTTTACTCCATCGTGTATTCATATACAGAACACAGCCATGTCCGACTTGTGATACTTTGATCCTCGCATGTTGAATAGAAAATGAGTCAACCTCTCCTAGACCCCTCGTGTTGAACATGACAACCAAAGATGAGCACTGTAATAAAAAAAAAAGCGCATAAGAGTCTTCAGAAATTCACTATAGGCCTCTCTTGAGTCACGTCCGAGTTCAAACGAATCGCTATGTAGGATCATCAACAAGAACCGAAGAATCTTACATCTAAGAGGAAGATCAGGGCTCCATGGAAGCAACTAACAGCTACACATTTGAAACCAGGCCAAATGAGATTATAAATCTGCATTTTCTTCTTCTGTGTATTCTGCTCTGAGAGTGTTCTTTAACACTAGCAATTGTTGTTTTTATACCCCACCCTAAAGGGCAGACGGTTATATACATTAACAATAAGGAATAACAAATAATGTGTTCTATATGATCATTACGAACTTGAGAATTTAAAAATAGTTTGAGGTTTTATTTTAATGACAACAGATTATGAGAAATCAATAATTTGGAGCAGCAAAACATAAGTCATTTCTGCAGGATTGCAGGAACACTTACTTTCCGGTATATATATGGACTCTTCTTTTTCTTTCTAAATCCGACTAATATCTCGACCAAAAACAAAAGTGGTCAGCCAGTTAATAGCCACGTAAAATCTGTTCCTCCAGCTTACCACTCGAGTCAAGTAAGCGGATCGCCAAATGAACCAGCTCACAAATCCTGCCAGGGACACACCTTTTGCCTCCTTGCTCTGCCTAAGGTCAACAAGAGCCTTGTACCGACCAATCGTAGCCATGCTGCCCAAATGTCTATACACAAAGGGATCGCCTAGATTAATATCCTTTGCAGCATTTGCTTTACCCCCACCAGCTTTCCCTGTCCTGTTCAATAGCATGGCAAGGTATTTTCCTTGACGTTCTGCAACCTGATTGACCATTTGCACATCAGTGTGTTTAAAAACATCTAGAAATAAAATACAATTGATGTGTTTTCATAATAACTTAAGAGTTAAGACTTCAGGTTTAATCTTATATATGAGTTAAATTTTTGTGAAGGGGAGTTTGGCACACCGGTTAGGGCGTTGCTGTGTTACCAAGAGGTCACAACTTCAAGTCTTGGGAGCGGCCTCTTGTCAAAAAGACAAGGGAAGGCTTACCTTCCTCCGTACACCCTTGTGGTGGGACCCTTCCCCAGACCCACCTTACGGGAACTCCAATTTGCACCGGGCAGCCCTTTGTTTTTATGAGTTTACATTTTCGTATTTCGTCGAAATAATATGGCTTAACATTTTAGACTCACACCAATTCTCTCTTTACCTGAGCCAACGCAGGAAGCACTGGCTTGCCTGTACTCTCAAGGAAGCCCGAGCAGTCCCCTATTGCATATACATCCTCCACACTAGGGACACGCAACCATTCGTCAATCCCAATCCTGTTTATGCATTACATATGTTGCCTCAGATAGAAAAAAAAAACAGCAAATATAATGTGTAGGGGATAAACTTGTCCCCTAATAATGATCTAAAGCAGCTTACCTTCCTCGCACTTTAGGAATATCTAGAGTTTCAACAAATGAAGAGGGTCCCACTCCAGTAGACCACACTAACAGCCCATAAGGAACCTCCGTTCCATCACTAAGAATTATCTTCTCAGATTGCACATCTTTTACTACCCCACGGACCAGACGAACTCCTGACTAAAACGAAGTAGTTTCATTATAAACATGGAAGCAAATGATCTGATTCAGGAATGGTTTTTCTTCAATTACATAAGGGCTAATTTGGTTGGTTGATTTTGGAGGGGCTGGGATAGGAAATTTGATTTCTTTGTTTTTGTTTGACTATATTTGTAGTCTTAAATGATAAAAATAATAACGGTATATTTAAGTAATGTGTTTCTATATAAGCCTTCTGTCTCACTTTGTTTCCGTAATAGCTAATGTCTTGACATTAATGACATACTAATGAAATATTTGCAATAATTCAAACTCACCTTGGTCAATTGTTTGGTGGCATATTTACGAAGACGGTCATCAAAGGAAGATAAAATCTCATTTGCCTGTAAGGGAATAAAAAGAGCATCATTTACAATGTTCTAACAAATTCCCATCCATATTCAAATTGAATATACTGCAATTCAGAATAATGTATGACCATATGCACATATTAGAATGATAAGTGCAGGTTACCTCAATTAATGTGACATGAATATAATCTTTGACATGAGCATATCTTTGATGAACGTCCCTCTTGATGAAGTCGCTAAGTTCACCGCTAAACTCAACTCCTGTGGGGCCACCTCCCACCACAACACAGTGTAGCAGTCTTCCCTTTTCTTCATCACTAACTCCTGCCACATATATGCATATATTTAAGTTCGAACAGCTGTCAAATATTTCTATCACTTGTATTATACTGGATCGCTCCAGGAAATATATGGCAGGATGCAAGCAACCATATACATACCCGGGACATCAGAGAGCATCAGGTTAAGGAGGAGTTTTCTCCTAATTTCTTGAGCATGGCGAACTTCCCGGAGAAAGATAGCATGCTCCTCCACACCCTTAATTCCAAAGGTCAAGGCTTTTGCACCGGAAGACACTACCAACTTGTCGTACGCGATATTGAAGTTCCGTGGCTCCAGTGTACCAACTCCTTCCGTAACTGTTTGGCAGTTTATCTGTACCCAAATCTTATGTCAACTCTACGGTGTATGAGCTGGAAAGCTAATAAAACATCAAATATTAAGTCACCTACTCCACACTCACTAACTGAAAATTAGATTAGCGTGTTCTAAAAGAAGCAGAACTTGGTTTCAATACCTGCAACTATGCGAGGGAGCAACTTGTGGTCCTCTGATTACTAGGTACATACCTCACATTCTATAGGCCAGATTGATATTAGGCTCAACTTAGCTCTTCCAGCAAATTATTCGGCCAGGTCTGGGCCCTCCAACTTTTAGGTGTTAAATTACAAAACTTTGAACAGTAGTTTGTTTGATACTACTATTCTACGCATGTTTCTTTTTAGACAAAAATATTAATAAATGGAGTTAAAAGTAAGAAAAATTGTATAAGATAGAAAATATTACCTACGTCCCACCGGACATTGCGAACTTTGTGTTGGGTGTGGAATAAGAAAAATAAAAACTGTGTGGTTGAAGTTAGTGCAGAGAAGAGAGAAATAAGTTCACCCATAATTTCATTACTTTAAAAGGAAAGACACAAAGTTTTGGGACAACCGAAGAGGAAAGTTGATAAAGTCCAGTAGGACAAAGTTGCATTCCTTTTTCAAAATTTAGGTGCTTACATGAACACTTCTGATTTAGGAGCTCCGCCACTAAACACATCATTTTTCACTAATGGTTGAATGAGCGTTTACTAATGATTGAATGAGGTTGGGAGATTGCACAAGATTGTGTAGTACCACCCAACTATTATGAACCATAAGACAGTGGCACACTTAACAAAAAAGTGAAATTATGTAATTGTACCCAAAATACTACGGAGTATTGTTGTAAGTTGTAAACTTGTAACAGACAATGGTATTGTTCAACATTTTAATTTGTAAAGTAGTAATTAGTTTTATCCAAACAAATAATACCAATTGTCCTATTACACAATGTTAATACGAAGGACAAAAAAAATTGGCACAGATAGTATGAGAGGAAGGAGTATATTTTTGCTACTCAACTATTGTGGCTCTAACCTCAAAGCTTAACACTTTGAGTCTGTTTGGTAAAGTTTTTTATACTCCATATCATATTACAGTCAATAAAGATAAATATTTGTACATTCTTTGGGTACACTCTTTCCTACATTCATGTATGACATTCACTTCTTCATCAAAAGTTAGAACATCAGAATATCCAATAGATACATGTAAAACAAGGATGTAGCAAACAAATGAAACTCTATTCGAGTACTCCTTTTTAAAGCTCCTGGGATAAAAGCTTGCGGCTTTTCATACATTTCACTAAAAAGCTTGTTAATTTACAACAATATCATAATCTACTTTTCATACACGCATTAGCTATATACTTTTTCGTCTTTTCGACATGCTTCTACTTCCCAGATTTTCCTGGAGGTGTGGCAGCAAGGTTAAGAAAATACAGAGAAAATTAGACATACCACATGGTTGTTGAAATCAATTCCAGAACAGTTAGCGAGGAAGAAATAAGAATTGGGTTGCCTGGAAATGGCGGGTTGAATCCGCCCGATCGGCTCAGCTACCGACCGGAACTCCAGGGTTCCGACGCAGGTGGACGCAAGCAGAGGGGTGAAGACCATGTGATTCCTGGGGGACACGCAAACGACGTCGTATATGCTGGTGTCAAGTCCCTTCATCAGCCTGCACCCTGCCCAGCCTGTCCCCAACACGACCACTCTGGGCTTTTCATCCCCCTTCGTCGGCCCCAACCCCGCACGCCCTATCCCGCCATCACTGGGTCCTTTCGCCTTAGACTCCGCCGGCGCCGGAGATGTGGTCTTTGTGGTGAACAACAAAAACTGGGTCAGGAGCGGCGGCGGCGCCCCGGGAAAAGCCGCCTTATATGATGATGGTTGTTTGCAGGTGGTCGCGATCGAGAGATGGATCAGATTCCTGAACAGAGACATGGTGATCCAAAAATGAAAATTGTGATGCTCTTTGTATTTTAAACAGTTTATCTGTGCTCATCTCATGATTTGACGTGGGTTCATAAGTAATGAGTAATAAAAAGCAATTTGCTCGAAGGAGAAACTCCCGTAGAATAGATGGCAGCGGCGAAGGAGTGGATCAGTAGATGGCGGCTAACAGATCGAAGACCGCGTTGTGTTGACTACATAGAGCTTCCAGTTTTGGAATTTTTGTGCTAACAATCCATTTTTGTGGGAAAAGCTTGGAATTTACTACAAGATTTTTTCTTCAAATATTACTCCGTACAAAATTAAGGCTGTTTTCAAAAGGTGTCCCCACTTTTACACTTGGATAAAAATGTGACTAAAATAAAATGATAATAAAAAATTCATGGCATTGCCTCATTTTTGTGTCACTGTCGGATGTCACTGTCATCATTGTCCGCGTCACTGTGACCGCCATCGCCCGTGTCACTTTCGCCGACATCGTTCATGTCACTGTCGCCACTGTCGTTCACTGCCGCGACCACAGTGACACCGTCATAGTGACGCCACCACATTGACATCGCTGTCAGCCACAGGGACACAATCGTAGGGCACAGTGACAACGCCTCAGTGAGACAGTGACAACACTAAGGTCGTCCCTCTTCCTAGTCCCAGCTGCTGCCACCGCCTCATCCTTCCCCGGCCACTACCCATGCCCCTCCCACCGTCCACTGTTGTCGCCCCTGACCCTAACTCCATCCTCTGTCATCCTTTGTTGCCACAGCCGCTACCGCCCTATGAAATAGACGGTTGATGTAATACTTGAAATTAATGTAAAAGGATTAATAGTACTACTCATACCACCATAGGTGCATCTCCCTTTAAGGGAGGTCATCACCTAAGAATGTCACGCCCCAGACCGCATCCAAGCGCGTGCACAACCGCCGTATGATCAAGTGACGTTACTCGCAAGTCAACCTCACTTAATCATATAAGGTGTCCATGAACATAGTTCGTACCATACTCAGTAAGTAAACATACATAACATCACATTTAAATCAATGAATAACGGAAATATTCAACGGTAAGTTATGGGCCACATCCGGCCAAAACATGGGCTCGCAAGGCCAAAATAGTTTATAGTAAATCAAATATACATGAGCAAGTGTTTGTAGTTTTAAAGATAACACGGAAACACGAACCACGTCTTCCTGAATATGACTTCACCGTATGAAAGGTGCAGATAACAAGCTCTAGCTACAACTTCAAATGCCCCCCCCCCCCCCCCACCCCGAATACCGAGTGAGCAGCAGGCTAAATGTTGAATAAGTAACGTTTCAAGCATTGTTCTAAAACTCGCTAGGCGTTAGTCGGGCGGTTGCGGGGCGCCTAGCGCCTAGGCGGCCGACTAGGCCAATTTTTTGGCCGACTAGGCCGATTTTTTGGCCGACTAGGCCGACTAGGCCTCTACAGTTAGGGCCGACTAGGCCGCCTAGGCCGATTAATCGGTCTGCCTAGGCCGATTTTTAGAACAGTGATTTCAAGTATACGACCCAAACATTGGGTGTTACATACGTTTATAACTTTCCCCAAGTCTTTGAAATACATATAGGTAGGTATATAAGCTTGGAAATATCCGACCCATAGGTCATTTCATTAAATCAATAAAATAATGGTGGACTTAGTCCTTGACTTTCCCCATAATCGACCCATTGTTTAACTTTCTTGTTTTAACCTAGGGCATTTCATAAATGAGTGTTGATAGCCTCACTCAGCCACCGGGCCACTCTCCCAGTAATATCAAGTTTTAGACACCGCCCGACCCTGGGTACTTCACCCCTAATATCTGAGTTTGGAGAACACAAGCTCGGTCTGTTGGAAATCTTGGGATATTTCAAATGAATAAGTCTTTAATTATTTTTCTGAGAAATTTTATCACGACTTTAAAGATTATTTTATCCCTTATTTCTATAGTCCTAAAATTACTTTTCATGGCTGGAGGTTTTATTTACATAGTATTAGATGTGATCCTTAATCTTTTTCTTAACAATGATGTTTCGGTATCAATCAATACACTACGTAAATAATTTATATAAAGCAAAATAACATTTTGATGTTTAGCTTTCCAAACGTAAAGTGGATGCTCGGGATCGGTTGAATTCTTAACCTGATTATATATATTTATTATATATTATTGAATACTATGAACGTTTCAAAGTGAAGGAGTAAATATAATATTATTAAATTACATTCAATCCTAACATTTTGCTAGTGGATTGGTCATGTGTATATATATATATATGTGTATATATATATATATGTATATATATATATATATATATATATATATATATATTTTTTTATATGGTCATGTACATATATACATATATATATGTATATAGAGTGCTCTTCATGTCAGGCCGGCCTGACGGGCTGCCCCGTCCGGCCGAGCCCGTTTGGGTACCTTCCCGGTGGAATTTTTTGATGAAATTTTTTGAGCATGTTCTTCATCAAGTCTAGTTTGTCCATACCAAATTTCAGCTCAAAATTCGATCGGGAAGGTCGTCAAATGATTTTTGCAAGTTAACTGGTCCGGAAAATACATATTCAGGACCAGTTAACTTGCAAAAATCATTTGACGACCTTCCCGATGGAATTTTGAGCTGAAATTTGGTATGGACAAACTAGACTTGATGAGGAACATGCTCAAAAAATTTCATCAAAAAATTCCACCGGGAAGGTGCCCAAACGGGCTCGGCCGGACGGGGCAGCCCGTCAGGCCGGCCTGACATGAACATTCCTCTATGTATATATATATATATATATATATATATATATATATATATATATATATATATATATATATATATATATATATATATATATATATATATATATATGCATGTACTTGAATTGCATGTAATGAGGGAGTGATCTATTTACTACTAGCCAAAAATATACATATACGTATGTATGAAAACATACATGCATATGAAGGCATAGAGAGATCTATTTGGTGCTTTACTATTGAAAAGAAATACAGTAGGGCTTTAACAAATACACTTTTATTGCTGGGTTCATGTACTAAATTTCTTCTCGTTAGTTCCGGTGCCGGTTTTATAACCGAAGGGCTCGTTATATCTTGGGGGGAATTTCCGTACGCCGGAAATAATTCCTTAGGACAGCGTCTGACGCGTCTCGAGCCACTAATATGTTTTAGTTCTTTTTAGTGATTATTTTACAGGTCAATTCTCGGAGCTAGATGGTCAACGCGGTCAACTCAGGAGCAATACGGTCAACACGTTGATTTTCAAAGGATAGAGCCAACAATCTAAGGAATTATGGCGAACAAATATATACCTACAGAATAATCAACGTGCCCAAAACTCCCCGTGGGACAAGCGGTGTAAGTTCTAGCTCCTATTGAATGTTAAAATTGTGGTATGTTGTTAACAAGCCTAATTACGATTAACTTTTGTTTAAAATGACACTAATTATGGGGGGATTGAAATTATAGGGAACAATACTCCAAAATAAAGTTTAAATTTTGTTGGCGGTCATAATAATTGTTGCAGTTAGAAAAAAAAATTATCATTAGTGAACATTTAAAAAAAATTAAAATTAATTTGGCTGAACGTTGGGTAATATTGATTGAGAACTTAACGAAAAAACGTTTTACATCAATATTCATTATTCATTAAATGCTTTTAATAATAAAAGTTGATTTGGTGGCTGTCCCAATACTCCGTTTTTTTTTACGGATGCATGCAGACGTATTGTAGAAGGAAAAAGATAGAGAATGTAATAAAATAATCTTCTACTTAGCATGAAGTTAGTGGATCATTAAATGGGATGTTTTGAATTCTTTTGAGTGTGTGTTGGCAAAATAGAGATTTCATAAAAACTGTTATCTTTAAATGACGTATTTCATGTGTCTAAGTTTTTCTTTTGTTTCATTTGTCCGTGGGAAAAGTTGTGATTAAAATTATTTGTTATATGTGTTGAAATAGTTATGATTATTGGAAAAGAATCAATTGTGTTGATGCTTCAAATTTAATAAAACAAAAGGCTTCTATTTTTGGTTGATGATATTAAGTGACATATCCGTGTGTTAGCTCTTCAATAGATTTTGTGTTTGATATTTAGTGATATGATGTATAGTACCTCAATAAATTTGTGATATGTGTGGTGAATCTGTATAGATTTCATAAATAATAATTTTACGATGACTAGAGGTTGTAGAAGATTTTGTAAAGCTAATTTTTGGTAAAATATGAGCTTATATAACTAAAGGTTGAGATATAAATTATCTCTCTATGAATTGTAGAAGGGCTATGCACCTAGTTTTTAAATATTTAAATTTGTGGGGGTGTTTAGCTATATTTATATTACTTATCTCGTTGAGTGAAATTGAGCTTTATAACTTTTGGCCACTTTTCATAAACTGAAATAGTGGAGCATACATATAATTTTCTTAAATTGAAGAAATAGTGTGCTAACTTTAAGCTATGTTATTGTTGATATTTATGCGACCGCTTTTGGAGAATTGTGTACACACTAAATGATGCATGTGTGATTATTTGTTTATATGTTGTTGTTCGAATTTTGATATGATTGTTGCATTAGCTATATTGAGCTTATACATGAGAAGTCAATAAATGTAATTTTTTGAGTATTAAAGTCATAAGGAAGAATGTTGGTATTTTACTATCATTGTATTGAAAATCTTCTTAAGAAGTTTGACATTTCCATTTTAATAATGTAAATATCCCTTATGCCTTTAATACAAATATTAAAAATGAAACACATAATGTGATTCCAAGGCTCAGTGTGTATGCTTAAAGAAAATGTGTGAATTTGTTACAATTAACAAAATGTGTGTGACCCGACATAATTTAAAATGTTGAAAGATTGAGTCATTTTTTGAAATTCAAATGGTATAGTTGGAATACCTCAAAAAGTTATTGAGACACTTGAGAGGTATAACTAATTATGATGTATTTGATTGGAATTATCCGTTGTAATATAGTGATACAACGATGATATGTTTTATTGAGAAATGTCCATTGTATTAGATCAGTACAATGATATTATATGAGAATTATCCTTTGTACTATAATGATACATTGGTGGTATATTTTTTTTTTAGAATTATCCGATGTGCCAGAGGGTCACATCGATGAAGTTTCTTATTAAGAGATATCCGTTGTATTGCCGGAATACAACGACGACATCTGAGTCGACTCACATGAGATAATATAAAAATGT